GGTGGGGAAGCGGACCAACCGGACCAACCGGGTGCGGTACCGGGTGGGAAATCGGACCAAACGGGTAGTGATCCGGACGGGGACCCGGATCATCCGGGTCGGGAACCGGATCAACCGGGTCTAGGGTGGGGAACCGGACCATCCGGGTGGTCCGGGTGGGGTGGCCAATCGACCGTGCGGGGAGTCGGACCAACCGGACCATCCGGATGGGGAACCGGGTGGGGAACCGGGTGGGGTACCGGGTCGGGAACCGGTTCAACCGGACCATCCGGACGGGGAACCGGATCATCCAGGTGGTCCGGGTGGGGTGCCAAATCGACCGTGCGGGGAGTCGGACCAACCGGACCATCCGGGTGGGGTACTGGGTCCGGAACCGGGTCGGGAACCGGATCGACCGGACCATCCGGACGGGGAAACGGATCATCCGGGCCATCCGGGAAGGCAGCCGGATCGACCGGGTCTAGGGTAGGGAGCCGGACCATCCGGGTGGGGAACCGGGCCGGGTACCGGGTCGGGAACCGGATCGACCGGACCATCCGGATGGGGAGCCCTATCATCCGGCTCATCCGCATGGGGTGCCGAGCCGGCCGTGTGGGGAGTCTGATCAACCGGGCCAACCGGGTGGGGTACCGGGTCGGGAACCGGATCAACCGGACCATCCGGCCGGGGAACCGGATCATTCAGGTCATCCGGGAAGGGAACCGGATCGACCGGGTCTAGGTTAGGGAACCGGACCATCCGGGTGGGGAACCGGGTCCGGTACCGGGTCGGGAACCGTATCGACCGGACCATCCGGATGGGGAACCGGATTATCCGGGTCATCCACATGGGGTGCCGAAGGACCCTGTGGGGAGTCGGACCAACCGGGCCACCCGGGTGGTCGACTGGGTCGAGAACCGGATCAACCGGACCATCCGGACGGAGAACCGGATCATCTGGGTCATCCCGGAAGGAAACCGGATCGACCGGGTCTAGGGTAGGAAGCCGGACCATCCGGGTGGGGAACCGGGTCGGGTACCGGGTCGGGAACCGGATCAACCGGACCATCTGAACGGGGAACCGGATCATCCGGGTCATCCGGGAAGGGAACCGGATCGACCGGGTCTAGGGTAGGAAGCTGGACCATCCAGGCGGGGAACCGGGTCGGGAACCGGATCGACCGGGTCTAGGGCAGGAAGCCGGACCATCCGGGTGGGGAACCGGGTCGGGTACCGGGTCGGGAACCGGATCGACCGGACCATCCGGATGGGGAGCCGGATCATCCGGGTCATCCGCATGGGGTGCCGAACCGACCGTGTGGGGAGTCGGACCAACCGGGCCAACCGGGCGGGGTACCGGGTCGGGAACCGGATCAACCGGACCATCCGGCCGGGGAACCGGATCATTCAGGTCATCCGGGAAGGGAACCGGATCGACCGGGTCTAGGTTAGGGAACCGGACCATCCGGGTGGGGAACCGGGTCCGGTACCGGGTCGGGAACCGTATCGACCGGACCATCCGGATGGGGAACCGGATTATCCGGGTCATCCACATGGGGTGCCGAAGGACCCTGTGGGGAGTCGGACCAACCGGGCCACCCGGGTGGTCGACCGGGTCGAGAACCGGATCAACCGGACCATCCGGACGGAGAACCGGATCATCTGGGTCATCCCGGAAGGGAACCGGATCGACCGGGTCTAGGGTAGGAAGCCGGACCATCCGGGTGGGGAACCGGGTCGGGAACCGGATCGACCGGGTCTAGGGTAGGAAGCTTGACCATCCGGGTGGGGAACCGGGTCGGGTACCGGGTCGGGAACCGGATCGACCGGACCATCCGGACGGGGAACCGGACCATCCGGCTCATCCGCATGGGGTGCCGAACCGAACGTGTGGGGAGTCGGGACCAACCGGGCCAACCGGGCGGGGTACCGGGCTGGGAACCGGATCAACCGGGCCATTCGGTCGGGGAAGCGGATCATCCGGGTCATCCGGGAAGGGATCCGGATCGACCAGGTCTAGGGTAGGAAGCCGGACCATCCGGGTGGGGAACCGGGTCGGGTACCGGGCCGGGAACCGGATCGACCGGACCGTCCGGGTGGGGAGCCGGATCATCCGGCTCATCCGCATGGGGTGCCGAACCGACCGTGTGGGGAGTCGAACCGGCCGGGCCAACCGCGCGGGGTACCTGGTCGGGAACCGGATCAACCGGACCATCCGGCCGGGGAACCGGATCATTCAGGTCATCCGGGAAGGGAACCGGATCGACCGTTTCTAGGTTAGGGAACCGGACCATCCGATTGGGGAACCGGGTCCGGTACCGGGTCGGGAACCGGATCGACCGGACCATCCGGATGGGGAACCGGATCATCCGGGTCATCCGCATGGGGTGCCGAACCGACCGTGTGGGGAGTCGGACCAACCGGGCCACCCGGGTGGGGTACCGGGTCGGGAACCGGATCAACCGGACCATCCGGACGGGGAACCGGATCATCCGGGTCATCCCGAAAGGGAAACGGATCGACCGGGTCTAGGGTAGGAAGCCGGACCATCGGTGCGGGGAACCGGTTCGGGAACCGGATCGACCGGACCATCCGGATGGGGAACCGGATCATCCGGATCATCCGCATGGGGTGCCGAACCGACCGTGTGGGGAGTCGGACCAACCGGGCCAACCGGGTGGGGTACCGGGTCGGGAACCGGATCAACCGGACCATCCGGACGGGGAACCGGATCATCCGGGTCATCCCGGAAGGGAACCGGATCGACCGGGTCTAGGTTAGGGAGCCGGACCATCCGGGTGGGGAACCGGGTCCGGTACCGGGTCGGGAACCGGATCAACCGGGTCGGAACCGGGCAGGGAACCGGATGGGGAACCGGATCGACACGACCGGCTGGATCGACCGGATCAACCGGGTGTGGAACCGGGTCTTTGTGGTCGGGGAACCGGATCAACCTCCCCAGCCGGGTGAGGGACCGGATCGACCCGGTAGGGAGCCGGATCAGCCGGGTCGGAACCGGGAAGGGAACCGGGTAGGGAACCGGATGGAGAACCGGATCTACCGGACCGGCCGGATCGACCGGGTCAACCGGGCGGGGAACCGGGTCAACCGGACGGAGAACCGAATGGACCGGACCGGCCGGGTCATCCGGGTTGGAACCGGGCGGGTGAACCGGATCAACCGCCCCAGCCGGGTGAGGGACCGGTTCGACCCGGTAGGGAGCCGGATCAACCGGGTCGGAACCGGGCAGGGAACCGGATGGGGAACCGGACCTACCGGACCGGCTGGATCGACCGGGTGGGGAGAAGTGAAGGCGCATGGCGTGATGTGCTGTGATGTGCTGTGGTGTGCTGTGGTGTGCTGTGGCGTGGTGTGCTGTGGTGTGGTGTGCTGTGCTGTGGTGTGCTGTGCTGTGCTGTGCTGTGCTGTGCTGTGCTGTGCTGTGCTGTGCTGTGCTGTGCTGTGATGTGATGTGCTGTGGTGTGCATGGGGGCAGGTGGGACGGTGGGGCCTTGAGTGTTCAACAACGTTCATTCATAGTGAGGTCCAAGTTGCTTGTGGCTGGCTAAGATGGGTCCGTACGTCCCTGGCCCTACGTAAACGTAATGTTACGAGTAACATTACGTTTACGTTTACGTACACATAAATACGCGTAACTTGGGTCCGGGCAGGAAAAAAATTCCGGTGGAAAAAAAGGGAGAACCGTTCGTTCGGTCTTGAATTTTGGCGAAATGTCGCTGCGGAACCGTTCAGGGCAGCAGACCAGCAGATACAGCCTGGTAAGATGTTAGATCTTAACTTAGGTCGTAACTAAAAATGGTAGGTCATGGGTTCTAAGATCTTAGTTTTGCATGGTGGATCTATGAAGTTGCATTAGGTCGTCAGTCTAAAGGCTCTGGAGCCTGCATACGTCGTGGGACTGGGAGGGTAAGCGGGGAGTGATTCGGAGTAACCCATTGGGGAAACGCATTGACTTACGCAATATCGCGTGAAATTGGGACAAGGCGCGAGCTGGTTTGTACACCTCGCGAAAATTAACACACCATCACAAGTACTTTTTGTGTTGATAGATTCTATGTTATAGAGTTATTGATGCCAATTTCGTATCCCTTCAAATTTTTACTTCAACCGGGCAGCTGAAGGAAAAAAAAATCTGCCTCATTCCAGCACCTCATGCGTAACGTAAAAAGTACGTAAACGTAAACGTAAAACGTACGTAAACGTAAGCGTAATATCCAACTTAGGTGTCTGGGGGGGATGGAAGAGGGGGAAAGGGGAGGGTGGGAGGGCGAGGTGCACGGAGGCAGTGGCGGGATATTCAGCAGCAGCAGAGTTAGGGTGGGGCTTGGGACGTGCATCGAAGCTGGCCCACCCGTGCCCTGAGAAGGGCGATCGGGTGAGGGGGAGGGCGATGGAAGCAAATGGGGCCCAGGCACGACCGTCTGATACACGTGAATGGAGGTGCGCCCGGGGACTCGTGAATCTCTGCAGCACCACGTTCAATCACTATTGCACTTCACACAGCCTCCCCTCTCCCTTAACCCTACCCTCACTCACCCCTTGGCACCGTGATTCACCGCATGAAGGTACCTCCTACCTCCGGGGGCGGGGTGCGGGATGAGGTTGACGTCCTCCATGATGCCCACCGTGCCCCACCGTGGCCACCGTGCCCCACCGTGCCCCACCGTGCCCCAGCAGCGTACCTCCAGGGGCAGGGTGTGGGATCAAATTGACGTCCTCCATGATGCCCATCGTGAACACCGTCTCCACGTCCCGCCGCCCCTGCTGTAGCGAGTACACCTGTGTGTAGGAGGGGGGGAAGCACGGCCGCATAGGGGGTCGAGGCATGGGGGGCATCACTCAGCTCTCCTCCATGATGCCCATCGTGAACACCGTCTCCACGTCCCGCCGCCCCTGCTGTACACCTGCCGGGTGGAGAAAAGAAGGGGGGCATGGTGGGGCAATGGTGGGGGCATGGTGGGGGCATGGTGTGGCAATGGTGGGGGCATGGGTGAGGAGGCGCTTGAATGCACAGCAACATTCAGGCATATACATGGGGGCCAGATTACAAGTACATGGCCAAGTGAAATTCTTGACATATAGACAGCCTTCACTCTCCCCTGATGCAAGCTCTTGCCTCCCCTGCCCCTTGCCCTGCCTGCCTGCCCTGCACACCCACCTGCCCCTTCTCTCCTCCCACGCACCCACCTGCCCTTTCTTGGTCATGAGTTGCCGCAAGATGGTCTCTGGCCGCGTCTTGCCTGTCGTCGGCTCGCCTCTGTGGCACGGCAGGGAGGAGGGCAGCGAGGAAAACAGAAAGGACACGATGACTAGACAATGAAAACACACATGGTTCTGGACACATTTTCCTTGTAGCTGGATACATTATATACAACTTGAAGGGAAATCCGCTCAACACTGGAACTCAAAGGAACTTAGTTCTGTGTCTCACGTCTTGCGGTCGCGGAACTTGATGGTGATGTTGTTCACCTCCGCCTCCGCCACCTTCACCCGCACCACCCCATCCGACAGCAGCTCCACGTCCGTTACCTGCCGGTGTGGTGTGGTGCAGTGCGGTGGAGTGCGGTGAAGTGGAGTGGGGTTGGATGGGGTGGGGTGCATGGAGTTGAGGGGAATTGTGGTGCGCGCATGGCCATACACAGACAATAATATTCCACATGCACATGCACACAACATCTCCACATGCACTCACGGGATTGGGTAGGCTCCTAGATAGCCATCCCATCCCATGCACGCATGGGAGGCGCACACACACCGCACATGCCCGGCTGATCAAGACACAACAATTCCACGTGCTGCCAGAGTCGATTGGCACTCTTTTCATCACCCGAACGATGAGAAGCAAGGCGAACGGAGAGCATGTGGGAGGAAAGGGGCAAGGCGCACCTGGCCTAAGAGTCCTCGGTCGCTGTACCAGGAGGGGGAAGCGAGGACGGGGGAGCGAGGAGTGGGAAGAGGGGAGGGGGGAGCGAGGAGTGGGGAGCAGCGGGTGGGGAGCAGGGGGTGGGGAGCAGGGGGTGGGAGCAGGGGGTGGGGAGCAGGGGGTGGGAGCAGGGGGTGGGAGCAGGGGGTGGGAGCAGGGGGTGGGAGTGGGAGCAGCAGCTGACCTGGCCGAAGAGGCCGCGGTCGCTGTACCAGCCGTTGAGCACATCCAGCACGCCGTTGAGGCGCTGAATGTTCACCACCTTGCCTGGTGGGAAGGGGGGGGGGAGATGTGGGGGCCGGATGGAGGAGGAGGCGGGTTGCTGGACGTGTGTGGTTCTGTTGTGTTGTGTGTGCCGGGTGGCAGTGAAACAGTTGATGTATGAGCGATGCACATGCTCGCACATGCGAAGCAAGAGAAGGTGTGTGCGTGGCAAGGCAGATGAGCAGCAGTGGACGCAGGTGAAGCAGCAAGAAGTAAAGGTACTGAGTGCCGGTGAGCATGCAGGTCAAGTTAGCAGGTAAGGGATTGGGCGGTTGGGCGGTGTGTGCATGTGAATGTGAGAGTGCAGGTGTTTAAGGGTGGGCGATGGGTGGGCACATGTGAGCATGTGAGCATGAGAGCATGCGAGCATGAGAGCATGTGAGCATGAGAGCATGCGAGCATGAGAGCATGTGAGCATGAGAGCATGTGAGCATGTGAGCATGCGAGTGCGCAGGTCACGGGCATACCGTACTCGTCCCGGAAGGCATCCTCAATGACACGTGTCGGCAGCACATTGGCTCCCACGCACATCAGCCCCTTCATCTCCTGATTCGCCTCCACCTGCCATCATGCCACACGGTATGACTCGGTTTGGTACGGAAAAGTATGGTAAGGCACAGTATGGGTGGCATCGTATGGAGGGGATGGTAAGACAAGGGTGAAGTGGAGTGCAAAGTGGGTGGGAGGATGAGGTTGCAGGGATGAGGAGAAGCAGCGACAAGAACACACTGCCTGCTGCATGGGTCCATGCACGCCTCACGTGCCTCTCACGCCTCACGTGCCTCTCACGCCTCACGTGCCTCTCACGCCTCAACAGCAGCTCTGCTCTGCCTGTTGTCCGCCAGCGTCACCCTGCTGCATGGGTCTGTGTGTACCTAAACACGCACCTGCCCACCCACGCACGCACGCGTGTACCCTGCCTGCGTGATCCACCCAACCCCCCACAAGCCCTCCCACCCAGACCCCACCCTCCCCCCCTTTCTCCCCCACACGTGGACGCACCCGGAAGATAAGCCGCACGCCGTCACGTGTGTCCTCCGCAGTCGGAAGGCAGCTAGCGAAGTACCCCGTGTCGATGATACGATGCACGTCCTCCTGCACCTCGCGCGTCGTCAGCGCGGCGTTCGCCTTGGACACCTTGAGCGCGCCCGCCACCACCTTCAGCAGCTCCTCGTCCTCCAGCTCGCCGCCGTCCTTGTCGCGAATCACTATTTCGCTGATCAGCACGCGCTCCTCCTCCGCCTTTCCCCCGCCTCCGCCGCCGCCGCCGGCCCCGCCGGGTGCGGCTCCGCGACTGTCTACTGTCCGCGCGGGGGGTGTGTTGCCTGGGGGCCCGCCGCCGCGGCGTCTGTGCGGCATTCCGCGGAGGTGCGGAGGGCGCCACTGCTGCGGGGAGGGCGGAGCGGGGGAGTCGTCGTTCGGGGGCGGGGCGAGGGGGAGGTAGAGCGAGGCGAGAGGCAGCGGCGAGCGGGCGAGCGGGGAGGGGGAGGGGGAGGCTAGGTGGTGCGCGGGGAGTAGTCGGGCGGCGTGCGCCTGAAGGCGGTCCAATATCGCGCCGCCCTTGCTCGCCAGCCCGTCCATAAAGCCCGCTAAAATAGCATCGCTACGAGCCACTTGCCGTGATTCTAACGAGGAACCGATCGCTTCTATCCGTTGTCCGCTTATCGCGAGCCTATTGCCGGCCGCGTCTCCTCCGTCCAGTGCAGGCCTGCCCACGACCCCCTCTGGCCCGCTCCGCACTCCACGGCGCGCATCGCGCCACGCATCGCCGAGCCTGTTCGCAGCGCCGCGAAGGCGGGCCGCAACTTCCGATTGAAGTAAGTGAACTCTAGACTGCTGCTCCCCGCCACTGCAGGACGGGAGGTGAGGTAAGTCGTTCATAGTGGTGAGAGCAGTGACGGAGTGCGATCAAGCGGGAAGTGCGAGGAAAACCTTCAAGCTGATCCCGATGTGAAATCCGTTCACGTTACAAGACTCCCTGTTGGAGGGAGCTTTGAATCGCGTCGCATCGTAACACGATCACCAGCAGGAAAAACGACTATTTCCCGTCTACAATGGTATTAAACACCAAACCTAAACCTAAAACGTGATCAAATTAATTCTATTAGAGAATTTTCCAGCAATCCTTACCCTGTTCTTCGACATCGCGCACAGCAGCAGCCGTTGTTCGCACATTACTGTTAATGGAGCTTCGCCAACTTTGCGCGCACTGTTTTACCAAACGATGCACCGGTGGCCTGGCCGATTCGGCCTTCACTTCGAGACTAGCCCGAACCTCGATGCCAGCCTAGCACCAGCTAGCTCGCAGGCACTGCGTAACCGTTGCATGTTTCCGCACATAAGTATTCGCTCATGCCTTCGCTCATACTTTGTACTCGTTTGACACATTGTGCAATCCTCGTTCCATTGCAACCGTAACAACTACTAACCTTACGCACGTACAGAATAATAATAATAATAATATTGCAAATATACTGTAAGGAGTTTTCCCGAATTCCTTACCCGACTTGACTGCTACGCGTACCGCCCGATTTTCGGACTCTGCACGTTCGGCCGACGTCAACGATGCCAAGGCTCCTCGCGTCGCGTTTGGCTTTCCGATCGCCAAACTCTCCGAATCCACTGTGCAGGAATGAATGAACTGTGAATGAGTTGGGTACAAATACTCACCCTAAAGTGTTGTATCCTTTGTAGTCTAACCCACTATAGCCTAGAGAGAACATAAACATACAGTTTGACACACCCCCATAGGCTAAGTGGGAGAGAGCAAACACAACAGATGGTCACAAGACCAGTCAAGCAAGAGAACAAGCAAAGCAAAGTGTGAAACTATGAGCAGAGGAATGAATTGACTAAGTCAGAGTTGGGTACAAATACAACCCTAGCAAACTGTACCCCATATGTGCTACCCCACTATAGCCTACAAACATGCATCAGCTATAATAATCTGACACACCCCCATAGGCAAAGTGGGGGAGAACAAGGGGTCACAAGACCAGTCAAGCAAAGCAAAACAAGCTCAGGGTGGATCACAAAGTCACCACACAGTCCGAGCACAAGAGCAAGGCCAGAGGCCAGTTCACATGCAGGAGTAAAGACATATATATAAAACTAGACAAGCAAGAGCAGGTATATATATGTCAAAGTACAAGTAAAGTCAAGAAGAGAGCAAGTGAGGCAAGACAGGTACAAGACCCAGCTGGGTACAAAAGCGCTGATGGTCGCAAGGCGCAAGTGCCTTGGTGAACACATCAGCAGTGTTGGCCTCAGAGGCCACGTAAGCAAGTCGCAACTGACCACGCTGCTGCAGCTCACGAGCAAGGAAGTAGCGGAGAGCAATGTGCTTCGTTCTGTGCTCCAAGCGCTGCTCTCGACACAAGGCCAACATGGCCTTGTTGTCTACGTACAGCACTGGAGGAGAACGAGGCAGCTCTCCAAGGTCAGTCAGCAGGTAGGTGAGCCAGCGAAGCTCCTGTGCAGCCATGGCCCCGGCGTAGATCTCAGCCTCACAACTGGAGCCGAGAACCGAAGACGAGCGAGTAGACCGCCACGAGACAGAGCCGGAACCAAGGCTGAAGGTGTAACCCTGTGACGACCGCTGCGTAGCCTGGTCGTCAGCCCAAGAAGCGTCTGCGTGCCCAGTAAGGACCACTGGACTCCGCCCTCCAAGCACTAGCCCCATGCCCGACGTACTGCACAGGTAGCGCAATACCCTCTTCGCTGCAGCCATGTGCTCTGGTCGGTGTCTCCCAGGAGCAACATAGCGTGCAAGGATGCTCAGAGGGTATGCAAGGTCAGGTCGAGTGCAGGTCATCAGGTACATGAGGCAGCCAACAAGCTCTGCATACGGACCACTCGACTCTACGGACTCATCCGAAGGCAGAGCTGAGAGTGAGTGGCGAGTAGGCAGAGGAGTGGCCTGAGGCGAGGAGTACGTGAAGCCGAAGCGCTGAAGGACCTGCTGCACCATGTGTGACTGAGTCAGGGTAATGGTGCGGCGTGCTCTGTCCCGAGTGATCTGCAAGCCAAGGTAGCTGCGCAGTTCACCCAGGTCTGTGCACGTGTGTCTCTTCAGCAGCTCGGACTTCACGTAGGCGAGTCCAGCAGTGTCCGCTGTGGCAAAGACCAAGTCGTCGACGTACACGAGGATGTAGAACGGCGGCAGGGAAGTGTCGGTGCGAAGAAACAGCGACGGGTCAGCAGTAGAAGGAGCAAACCCAAGAGCCGCAAGCGTAGTCCTCAGTGTGTCGTGCCACTCACGCGGTGCCTGGCGGAGACCGTAGACTGGCCGTCGGAGGCTCCACTGGGTGCCAGGAGGGAAAGTCCCAGTGAAGCCAGGCGGACGGCGCAGCCAGATCTCCTCGTGCAGGCTACCCTGCAGGAACGCAGTGCTGAAGTCGAGAGAGTGAAGCTCGTAGTCGCGCTGAGCGGCAATGTGCAGCAGCACCCGAAGAGTGGTCATCTTCGGGGTGGGAGAGAAGGTCTGAAAGTAGTCAACTCCCTGCCGCTGACTGAAGCCACGAGCCACGTAACGCGCCTTGAAGACAGGCGGCGAGCCCGGCGGCCGCTTCACCCTGAAGATCCACATGCCACTGACGATGTTCGCCCCAGGAGGGGGAACCGCGTCAACGTAGGTGCCTGTGGACTTCCAGGAAGCCATCTCTGCATCCATAGCTGCCTGCCACTGAGAGGAGTAGGGACCCTCTACGGCCTCCGCGTAAGAACGCGGAGTCGGGATGTCTAGTGCATCCGGGTCTCCCTCAGGGGCTAGCAGTACAGACGCGAGACGAGGTGAAGCAGCGGCTAGACACTGGAACTCCTCCTGCCTCTCCTCTAGGACGTCCGTGCCAAGGGCACACTCACCCCCGACGGACGGAGGACAGGCGGACTCAGACTCAGCGACAAGACGAGCAGCGTAGTCTAGACGACAGCGCGCAGCAAAGTCGACAAGCTCAGTGACAAGGGCAGACGCAGCAGACGACTCGAAGGAAGGGTCAGTGACAGCAGTAGCAAGGAGACGCGTGACAGTAGGACTGGCAGCACGAAGAGAGTCCGACTCCGGGTCGGCAAGAGCAGGAAGAGAGGAAGCAGGAGGAGAAGGCAAAGGGGCACGCAGAGGAGCAGTGGACGGACGCAGTGACATCCGGTGCGTGCCAGGGACAGGAGGAGGACGCTGACGCGACCCGCGACCACTAGCGCGCTCAGTACGAACAGGCGACGCAGGACGAGACGCAGGCTCACGACGCTCAGTAAGACCTCCAGTCGGACCAGCGTAGGGAGAAGGAGCAGGCAAAGGGGAGGCAGGCTGTAGCTGTGGCTGTGACCGGACAGGCTGCGGACCCTCTAAGGAAGGAGGAGGAGGTGTAAGACCAAGAACCTGCTGCAGGAGCGGAACGAAGTACGGTCGAGGCCGCGCGGCGACGCCAGAAACAGCAGGAACAGCACCAGCACCCCCGGCAGGAGCACCCACTCCAGCAGCACCTCCAGCAGAACCACCAGAAGCTCCAGAACCTCCAGCAGCAGCACCAGGAGCACCGTCAGTCGGACCACCAACCGCAGGCTCAGCGCCAACGTCCTCAGCAGGACCAGCTCCAGGAGAACACTCAGACCCAGCAGCTCCAGCACCCACAGGACGAGCACCGCCAGGTCGCGTGGCAGCAGCGCCCTCCGCAGCCGAAGAACCACCAGCACCAGCGGCACGCCTCCAGCGCCGGGCAAACCACTCACGCAGCTCCTGTGGAGAGAGCGGCCCCCGGTGAGACGAAGCACCCCCAGGCACAGCACCTCCAGGCTCGGCACCTCCCGGCTCAGCACCCCCAGGCTCAGTACCCCCAGACACAGCACCCCCAGGCACAGCACCCCCAGGCTCAGCACCCCCAGGCTCAGCACCCCCAGGCCCAGCACCCCCAGACTCCGCACCCCCAGGCTCAGCACCCCTAGACTCCGCACCCCCAGGCTCAGCTCCCGCAGCAGCACCGGAGTCACCAGTGACCTCGACAGGCTCGACCGCGTCTACCTGAGACACACCTGAAGGGGCAGGACCCTGAGGGGGGAGGGGGACTACTGGGGGGGGACCTGGAACCAAGAAGAGGGGGGGTGGGGGGAGGGACGGAGTGCGGTAGGGGAAGAGGCGGTAGTAGGGTACCGACTCGTCGAACGTGACGTCCTGGGAGGACAGAACACGTCGAGAGGTGGGGTGGTAAAACTGCCACCCAGGGGCGTCGGGGGGGAACCCGAGGAAGACGCAGGGAGAAGCACGAGGGGACAGCTTGTCCGCAGACAGGTCGCGAACAAACGCCCGAGATCCCCAGACCCGGAACGCCGACGCATCGCCAACCTTCCCCGTCCACAACAGAGCT